TAGACTGTATATAGCTGGGGGATTATACTCATATCCTCAAGACTTTAGTCTCCATGAGACGCAACATCGTGATTCCCAAACTCTTCAAATATATACCCCACAACAAAGGTTTCTCACTCTAAGCTTTCGAATCTTTGTCCAAGCAGAGATTTTTATCATGTTTTACGTCTGCAGTTAGTTTTATAAGAGTAACTATACTAAAAGTAAATACACTTTTTCAGACAATACAAGACCTGGTTATTATGTAATGCTATTAACTATTAATTCCCATTTTCCAGATTAGGAAATCCAGGTGTAAATATGTTATTGCCTAAGGTTATATCGTAGTCAGTGGGAGAAATGATACTTGAACATGTATCTCTGAAGTTCTAAACCTAGAAAAGCATATGTGAACTTCTTTTATTTCCTCCTTTCTTAAAAAGAAGGAAGGAGAGAAGGAGGAGAAAAAACAAGTGTTATCTTGTAGAACTGTTCTGGATGTCAAGGTACAGAATATGAAAATATCACAGAACAAATTGCCCTTAATGTGCATCATTTAATTCTACTAAGGGAAAATAATAAAAAGGTATATAGACAGCTTTTAGTTAAAAGCTATTTAACTAAAACATTTGATGTTGAAAAACTTTTAAACGTGGATTTTTCCATATATTTCATGAATATCCAAAGACTATCCTATATTCACAAAATAAATTTAATATAAAGGTATACATGGAATTTTTTAAAAACATGAAAATATAGTCATATGAATAACAAAAGGCTCTTAAAGAGTCATAAAAAGTCACTAGTGTATTATCTATCAACAATAATATACACAATAATATAATATAATGTATAAAATTTACTAAAAAATTTTTTTTGGTAACTGGTCAATCCTTCTCTAACTACATAAATAATTCAGGATCAGAAGACCACAACCTGCAGATTACTGAAAAGAACATGTTGAGGGTCAGGAAATATGAACTCTAGACACTAAGTAACCAGGCAAATTCTTGCATCCCTGCCTCAGTTTGCTCTCCATAAAGAAGAATTGGAATAAATGATATCCACGACCTTCCTAACTGACATTCTAAGAAGCCATATTTAAAGTCTTCCATTTGGGAAGAGATGAAAACCGTTATAGATTAATGAAATGGGCCCTCTCTAATTGTAAAGAGACACTGGTGCTCTTTTCAACAAAAGGGCAGTTCTCTCTTCAAGAGCTTCCTAAGTAACCAGTCATACAATTCCTAAAATCCATCTGACAAACCAGATCCTACACCAATATTAATATCGGTAGAAACGTAAATGAAGAAAGCATCCTCTCCATCTCAGTTATAGGAATTCTATGACTATTTCTTCTAAAAAGAGAGCATTTTAATAATAAGAAAGCATAGTTTTATCTGCAAATCCTGAAACTCACTATTTCACTAAAAGACGAAAAAGGAACTTGAAGGATATCTCTTTCAAGGTTGCCTATTAATAATTTTTAAAGTGTACAGAAAAAACAACTGGATGGCTTCAGAAAATGCATTAACTATATGATCTTTAAGTAATGACTATTTAAAAAATATGAGTCCTGTACACATGCTCATGGATTTTGAATAAACCTATCCAATGTCAATATATTAATAATATACCTCCCAAAGAATACCATGTGATATTATTAGATATTATTCAGATAAAAGAGTTCTGTGGTTCAGTTTTTAGAACACTGTACATCTTTCCTATAGGACTACTCATAGCCTTTAAAAGATTAATAATAGGAATTTAGAGTCCCCAAAAGAAGGGCCTTCATGCAGAATTTCCTTGCTTGTGTAACCACAGAACTCTTTTACAGGCTAAAATTTTATGAAATACACTTTGATAAACTCTTTCTTGGGGTTCATGAGAAATCTTTAATCTAAACAAGAAGATATGAGAAGGCTTTCTACCGGTCAAGTCTTATTATAAAAGCTATCCATGCAATGGGAATTTTAAAACATTGATCATCTTTCAACTGGGATAAGCTTCAAAAAATAGTTGATAAAAGAAAATCACTTAAAAAGATTTTTTAAAAAGATTTCTTAATTTGACATGACATAGTGTGCTGTCTTTATTTCTACTTTGACTAACATGACAGAGGAGTGAGTGGGGGAAAGAAGAAGTCCAAAAATGAAGTAGGGGAAAGAAAAATATTGTTTTATTAAAAAAACTGACTTCTTAGCTACATTAAGAAATGTTAATTGAACTGGACTCTCCTCGGTAAGAAATATTTCTCATTTAGAAATATATCTCTAAATGATTAGAGATCATAAATTATAAGATCTGTAGAAATGGATAAGGCTATGATCCAGCCTCTGAAAAAAATATTCTTGGAAAAATTATTGCAAAGAAATATACAGATAGTATAGCCTGGGTGACTAGAGAGACTGTGATAAAATAAACAGGAGCAAAAGTGAATTAAGTTACTTTCTCCCTTGGGTAAAGAGGTATTCTACTCCAACTCCCAGTACTGTAAAGCATTCTCAATTGTTAAATTTAAATATATGCTCACTCAGTAACTCACATTGTTAAGCCTGTTATGTTGGCAATAAATGTCCATATTCACAGCAAGAGCCAAAGTAAACACTTTAGAATCATCAAATTTTAATGATTACACATTTTCATAAGTGATGACATATCTCTGTGAGGGTTATTATCACCTCTTAAGGGAGACCCCCTGCATTACGGCTACTTGGCATGAGGATGCCAGTGATGGGAGCATCAGTGAACAAGTACTTACTAAGCATGCACACAGGTTGTAGGGCCAGGTATTGGGTGTTTGAATGTTCATGATAAACATCGGCATCCCTATCATCTGGGAGTATCATCAGCAAAAACCATTTACGACATAGTAGTGGGAATCTGACTATGATGCAAGTCAGCAATCAAACACTAGCTGGCTATTAATTTAGTGCAATGGAATAGAAGAATACAGAATACTCTTTCTTAAGAGTGTTCTTAACACACATGTAAGTGTATCAAATAAAAAAAGAGAGTATAAAAAACCTAAAATGAGCATTAGAGACAAAAATTGTACATAGTCAAAGGTCAGCACTACAAAATTACAGAAAAAAATGGAATGGCTTATGATGACAAAATTTATTTTGATTATATTTGAGAAAAAAATTCCCAATCCTCTAGCTACTAAAATTTTGAGTATGACTCATGGCAATCCAATATTTCTTTAGTAAATATGAAAATGATGCTACAGAATCTCTAGTCAAAAATTATACTTGATAATAATGAAAGGTTTTTAAAGATACAACTTCTTTTTCTTGACCAAGGGTACACATTTATGACATAATTGGCTGGAGTTAAGATACAATCTGGGCCCATACAGACCAGATCAAAGCTAATTGGACTTTGTGGAAAATGAACTCATGACCTAGATCTCATTAGTCATAACTAACTGAGCTAATGGGCCATAGAAAATACATGTTGGCATGAGATATTTTCTTTGAATCACTTCTGCACTTAAATGGGCCATGTAATTATAGAGAGTCAACTTTAGAGATGCTGTTTTTCTAAGGTTTTGTGAATGCATTGATCCATTGATCACACATTTATCTATTATGTGGAAGACCCTAAGGTCAGTGGTGGAATAGTTTTAAAATGCACGAGGCAATAATAACACAGAATTTAGAGTCATAAATAGGAGAGAAAAATGTAATAAATGAATGAATGAATGAATGAATAAATAAATAAATAAATAAATAAGCAAGCATAGTATACAATTATAGTACCCTAATGTTTTATTTCCCTGATGTTATGCAAAAACACTTTTGATAAGCTAACTATATCCGTTTTGTAGATAAAAGGGTAGGGTGGAGAGATTACTAGTCTGTAACTTTCATAAAGTCACAGACTAATCATCTCTCCACCCTACCCTGGACCAATGATAAATGACTGTAATAGATACTGTAGGGTTAACTCTCCCAACACACATTCCAACTGCCCTTTTCCCTTGCTGCTTTCTAGCATACAGACATGAAAGCTACAAAGTCAAATTCCCAGATTCCTGGGAAGCTAAAAAGTACTAGGTGATACAGTTATGGTCAATGAGATGAAAGCAAAAGGGAGCAGGGGGTTTCTCGGAAAGCCTCTGCATATATATGTATGATACATTATATGTGTGTATATATTTGTTCATTATATATGTGTATATATAATACATTATGTGTGTGTGTGTTCCAGACAGCAAGAAGAGAAGAGGTGAATGAAGGAGTTGTTGTTGTTGTTGTTTTTTATAAAGCAAACATTATTTTTATTTAATAATCTTTGATATTTAAAATACAAATCAAACATCCACATTAACAATAGAATCCTCAGTATTCAACAGTGGTTTGTAAGCCTGGCTTTTCTAAGGACCAGACTGTAAGGGCTATGTGCATAATAATAGTGAAAGATCTCAGAGAGTGGTGCACACACAGAAGGGCTGCAGTTGGGTCCTGAGCAAAAGCACTGGCATGGTGCACCTGTCTGACAATGCTTTTTATTTTAGATGTTTTTTGTACTTGAATTTCAAATAGTTTATTTGTACAGAAGAGTAATTTTTAAAAACTTACTCCTGGTAGTCTAGTGTTGTAGAAATTAGATAATCACATTTCAAATACGTTTTCCTCTTTCAAATAAAAATCATTAAAAAAATTCCTGGAAATATTCCTTTGAACTATGCAAGAAACAACTGAAGTGCGTCCTTAATTAATCAAGAATTTCCACAGCTTTTTCATTATATTTGGATTTTGTGTGTGTATATATATAAATATATGTATATGTATATCCATACATACACACAAAGTCCAATTATATATATATTCCTCTTCTCCATTGTGCAAATCACTAGCACACTGTGGTGCAAATATAAAAAGCCTTATTGGAGAAAATCTTACAAGCTGACATATAGCAGAGAGAGCATAGTTGGACTGGATATATGGAAACTGATCAAGTAGATCTCTGGCCTCAGTAGGGAGAGTTAAAAAGACTTCCAAACATAAACTTACATTGCTCCATTGGTATACACAGTATCGCTTCCTTCCACATACTGCACCTGAGCTGGATAGACATGTTGTACCTGTTGCACAGTCTGCACCTGCTGTACCTGAAAAATAAATATTAGGACCTTGGTGAGCAGTAGATAAGAAAGAATACACAGCGTTAGATTTGCCTCAAAGATTTCTCTAGGGTACTGATAAATGTGAGAGTGGCTTATGATGCGATTCTTAAGATTCTTCAACATAAACGCGTATTGGGTCAAAAGAAACTGTAGCAATTATACTAAATAAATTCCATAACATTCCTGCAGGTATGTATGTATATACTCACTTCAAATGTTTAGGGTGAAAATTCTAAAAGGTCCTCATTTATATTGATAATTTATGATATTCTCTTCTGAATAATAAGCTAAATTTATTTTTAGTTAAATTCATGATGGAAAATTTCAAACACTCAAATGCAGAATAACTACTATAATACACCTCCCTCATAGATTCATCATCCCAGATAAATAATTGTCACCAAACATCTCCTTTCAACTCCTTACAAGAGTCGAAAGCAAGTAGAGAGATTATATCATTTAACTGGTAAATATTTCATTTTATTTCTGAGAGATAAGAACTATTTTTAACATGAACACAATATCACATATAAAATATTAACATTTTCTTAATATCACCTAAAATCTAGCCATTGTTCAAATTTTTCTGATTATTCCGAAGTCTTTTTAAAGTTGATTTGTTCAAATCAAGGTCTAAACAAGGTCTACACATTACATTTCGGTGATATTTCCTATTTTTCTCTTTGAATCTTTAACAATTTCCTATCCTTTCTATTTCTTGACTGTTACTTATTGAAGAAACTGGATCATTTATCTTGTAGCATTTCTGGAATTCTAGATTTGGCTGATAGCATCCCTGAGATGTTCTTTAATAAGCTCCTTTATCTCCTGTATGTTCTAGAAACTGGAAGTTAAATCGGCAGCCTTGAACAGGTTTTAAAAAACTCTGTACCCTCCTACTTCATCTATCAGTTGCTATATAACAACTGTTTGTCTCTCTTTCTGCAATGTTAATCAGTGGGGTCAGTGGATCCATTTATTATAATGTTCCCTATAATGTTACCTGAACATTTTAGTAGCCAATGATGATCATTTTCTACAGATATTGTTTCAATTAATAAAGAGTGCAAACTTCGGTAGTCTAATTCTGTTATACATTCTTTCTTTATTAGAAGACCTCTATAAAGAAATTCCTCTCATTAAGTATCTGGTTACTTTGAAATAAGGTTTGCACAGGAAGAACACAACAAACATACGATTTTTTTCTTTATCAGTACTCAGAATAATGATTTTATCTCCTAGCTCCCTCTCAAGGTAAGCAATGAGGTTTTTAGTTTGGTTTGGTTTGGTTTGTATCCTTAACAATTCTTGGCTATTTACCATATGTGATCTTTTTCAATCATAGCAGTCTATTTTCTTGCTAAAATTGTTCTATTTTTGAAAAATGTAATCTCTTTAAACTGGATCCTGTATCTTTTGACATAACCACAGTAATCTTTCTTAACTCCCTTACTTTCCACGAAGATAAGATATTCCAGACTTATCTCTTATATTTCCTGTCCTAGATATGTAACCAACCATTTCTTCAAAAAGCCTGACTCCTATTAGTAAAGAGTTATATAAATATGTAAAAACTGTTTAGGAAGGCAGTTTATAAATAGGCATAATAACTGACAACTTCATAATTTCCTCTACAGAAATATTTAACATCTAAGGAGTTGCTGCACAATATTATAAAACAGTACAGTTTATAAGTGCAGAAAGTTAGAAGGGAAAACCTAATGACTGTGGAAAGTAGAATGATTAAATAAATTATAGGAAAACCATTCTGTAGAATATATATATGGCCAATGTTAAGAATAAAGTAAGATTAATATGTATTTTAACAGCAAGATCTCTAAGACAGTATCAAGTGAATAGTATGTTGTAGAACAATACTTGTAGTGTGACTTATGTTTTAAAATATTTATATATCAGCATATATGTTCACCTGTGTATACAAATGTATATAAGTATATAAAGAAAAATAGAAGGATGCACATCAAACTTGTGAAACGGTTACTCTGTTGAGTGACATAAAATGAAAGGTGAGGTGACCAGCATCTTTTATTCTGCATATTTATACTGGCCTTTTATTTTTAAAATGAAAGTGAATTTATATGTTACATACATGATATACAAAATATCAATATATAAATCAACATATGGAAGGACATCCACTTCTGGCCATGATGGAGTAAATACTACTAGAAATGCCCTCCCTACATTAAACAAGTAGAAAACTGTACAAAATATGTAAAGCGATGTTTTTAGTCATTCAACAAAAGGCATCAAAAGATTGTGATCAATAACAGAAGAAAAACAAAGTAACCCTCCAGTGATGCTGGCTTTTGACATGTAACCTTCTAAAATGCAGAACAGGAAGGGAAAAAGTGAGGAGACAGACATTAGAACCAGGGAGGTCGAAGGAGCTGAAATTTGGGGACAGTATCAGCGAAGGCATTAAGCATAGAAGTAGATCTGGAAATATCCTCAGAGATCCTCTTGAGTCTAGCGCTGAATATTAAGCTGTATATGTGCAAGGCACAGAGATATTCAAATTCTGACCAGCCACAGTTATATAACCTTATTGAACACCTACAGCATTCTGTAGAAACATCAGAAGGGTAAAGCCTTAGTAGTATGGCTAAACTAGCTCTACAGTAAAGACCCATCCTCACAAAGCTAAAAAATAAGCCTTCAAAAAGATCAAACTGATCTACAAGTAACTAACTGCTTATACGAAATGAAATTTAACATTTTTAAAGAAAGACAGCAAAATCCAGACATATAAAACTGTAAGAATCATAATGTCCAGCACCCAATAAAAATTATTAAACATGTAAAGCAGCAGAAAAATGTGATCTATAACGAGAAAATTAATCAATAGAAACAGATATAGAAATGAAATATATAAAGTAGCAAAGACTTCAAAACAACTATTATAGACACGATTTAAAGAAAAACACAAATATGACAAGATAAAAAAGAAGCAATAAAGAGCCAAAGAGAATTTGTAGAGCTGAAAAATACAATATCTGAAATAAAAAATTCACTGAATAGGATTAAGAGCAGAATATAGAGTACAGAAAAAAGATCAGTCAATTTGAAAACCTAGCAATAAAAACTATCTGCCATTAAGAATGGACACACACACACACAAAGAAATAATGAAGAACAGAGAATCAGTGAAGTATGAGATAATATTAAGTAGTCAAACATATTGTAACTGAAGCTCCAGAGGAGAAGAGGAAAAAAACACACTAAAGAGTGCTAGAAACTTTATCAAATCTGAATAAAAGTATAAATATGCAGATCTAAGCCCAATGTATACAAATGTATAGAGAAAGAAAACCACGTCAAACTGCATCGTAATGAAAGTGCTTAAAACCAAGAATACGGAGAAAAATTTTAAAGCAGACGGAAAAGGGACACATTATATATAGGGTAACAACTATTAGAATGATTTAAAGTTTTCTAGTAAAAATTAATGTAAATACAAAACAATCAAATAACATCTTTAAAGTTGTGAAAAGAAAAAAAAATGTAAATTTAAAATTCCATAATCAATGAAATAGCTTTCAGAACTAAAGGGGCAATTTTTTCTTAGACAAACAAAAACTGAGAGAATTCTTCTCCAAGCCGACCTCCAGTGAAGGTAATGACAAAGGAAGTTTTTTGGGCAAAAGAAAAATAATATCAGATAGAAACTAAGATCTATACAAAGAAACGAGAGGCACAAGAAATTCTAAGTAAAGGGTTTTTTTCAATGTTTTCTCATCTTTTCATTTCTATAAAAGGTAACTGACTATATAAAGTAAAAATAATGGCAATGTATTATGAAGTTTACCACATATGTGGAAGTGAAATGTATGTATCACAAAAATAGCACAAAGTATGGAAGATTCTTATATGTATGTTGTGGTATAATATTACCTGAACACACAGGCTGTGTTAAAATTAAAGATACAACTAAATGCTAATATATATATATATATATATATATATATATATATATAAAATCCTAGAACAAAGACTAAATAAAAAATAGTATAGCCAATAGTGGTGATAAAATATAATACTAGAAAACACTCAATAAAGCCAATGGAAGGCAGAAACAGAGGTAATAAAAGAACCAATAGAACAATAACAAAATGCTAGAATTAAATGCAATCGTATCAATAATCATACGCAATATAGATTTAAATTTTGACTGTTAGAATGTGTAAAAATGTGAGATCCAAACATATGTCTCCACCAGAACACACTTTAAATACGGAGACAGAAATGGGTGTGGAAAAGATAAGCTTTGCAAATGACAATCATAATAAAGATAGACTGATTATATTAATATCAGTCAAAGTAGACTTCGAGCCAAAGAAAATTATCAAAGAAAAAGAATATTTCAAGAAAATTATCAAGAATAATAAAGCCTATGAGTTTGTATCTGAGAATAGAGTTTCTATATACATGAAGCAAAAACAGAGAGAATTAAAAGAATAAGCAAGTCCACAGTTACGACTGAGGATTCCAACATTCTTCTCTCCAGAATTGACAAAAGGATATAGAAATTATTAACCAACTTGAACTAAATGGCATTCATATGACAATCCACGTGTGTATTCTGTTACTATGTGGACTGTCTTACGAAGCTAGAAAACAAAAAACAAATTAAATCTCAAGTAGGAAAAAGGATATAAAGAGCGAAAACAAATGAAAGAGAAATCTAAAAAACAGAAAAAAATCAATGAAATGATAAACATTAAGGTAGGCTAAGGAGAAAAAGAAGACAAAATTATGACTACTAAGGATGAAAGGTGAAACACATCCTAAAGACAAAAAATAGATAACAGAAAAAACTTAATGCTAACAAATTCGACTACTTAGATTAAATGGAATAGGCCTTAAAAGATATAAATTACCAAACTGGCGAAAAATAAAGATAAAACCATATGGTTTTATCTTATTATTTGTATCATATATGTAAATTTTTTACATATGATAAA